TGTGGCTCTTGGTGATTGTGTGCAAATCACTGACTCCTTCTTTCCCTTCATATTCTTGTCTATTTAAAATATTGATAATTTGATTTTTATTTTAAAATATTGATGATAATTCAGAGGGGATTAATAAAGTTAAATTTAATGATGAAGTGCTGTAAGATCTTTGATGAGAAAGTATTTACTGACAGGCAAAGCAATATTAGTATTCTGCTACCGTATTCTGGACTGCTCTTGAAATACTGATTCTAAGCCCAGAGAGCCATGACTGCTTACTGACATCAACCCCATTGGACCAATTGGAGAGCTATTTTAAAAACCCACACTTTTTTATCACCTCCCATTCTGCTTTGCTGTAGCACTGGCAGCTCCTACATTTGCAGCAGCCTCTTAGTCTGGATATTCCCTACATCAGATTCACCTTGATAGCAGATTTGTAATGTGCTGAGTTGCTTTCCTACAGTGGGGGTCCTGGAGCTGGAAAGAGGCAGCTGCACTGCACCACAGCCAGTGGTAAATACTCCTAAAAAGCATGTTCCTACAGTCATTTATCTATAAGCCACCATCATGTAAAGTCTCCTGAGGTTCCTACTGCAGACCTATGTTGGTCCTACCAGCAACAGGACTGCCTAGCCCAGATGTCCCTGTTCTTTGCTGGGACGTCACACCCACCTGCTTCCCTTTCCTGAAACAGCATATCAATATCTCTCACCCAATTCCTGTTCCTCTCCCCAAACTGAAAAATGGAGATTAAGCTTGATATCAACTCTTATGTGATGCCAATGGATCCCTGTCCTGGTTTCAGTAAAAGGAACCCACCTTGTCAAGAGCTGTGTAATTTTCTGGGTTACAAGTGAGTGGCATACAATGGAGTAGTAAATTTGGACAAAGCTGACTTCAGATGTTTAGTTTGTCTAGAATATATGGATCGGTTTCCTGAATGGAGCAATCACTGGAGCAGATGGTGTTCTGCTCTGCTTCTATCTGTACTGAGGCCAGGGGTCTGTGGAAGCGAGCGGATAGCTTTTACTGAAGGCGTGGCACCTCTCCTAAGGTTTCTCCTGCAAATCTGTGGGTTTGTTCCTAACTAGCCCAGACATCCCTGTCCTTTGGTGGCTCTCTGCTGGGACCTCGCACACACCTATTTCCTGTCTTGAACCAGCAACCCAGGAGGTATGGGAACAGTGGGGACTGCAGGAGGGAATTAGTTGCTCTGTGGACCCCAGGTAGTAGGTAGATTTTGATTCCCATAATAAAGAGAAGAATGGGCATTCCCACTGATAAGGTGGAGTGTTAAAAGAGGAACTCCAGTCCCTAACTGCAGGCTCATCTTCTTCCCAATTTGCCTTTTACTACCCCAGCCCTAGATATCCCACTGGCTTTTCCCTATTCTCTTCTCCATAACCTCAGAACCTACTTATCATTGCACATTTGAGTGTTGCATATACTGTGGAGATATCTCCAACAATTTCTGAATGAGCTTCTTGGTGCACAGTATGTTATTTCTGTTGATTTTCCTTAGAATTTCCTTATTGTTTGATGGTGACACTCATGGGAAAATGCCTTTTTTTTTTTTTTTTTTTGTCACAAATGAAGCTCCACATGTAAGAAAACAAGTCACTGCAATCCCAAATCCACTAAGAGAGTAAGTGGAGAACTAATGCTTCTCCTATAGCAGTGTTTTTAGTGAGTGAGGTGAAACTGTCATCTAGTGGTCACAGTAGGTGTTTCTGAATTACCACTTTCATTTGGATGTAGCCGGAATGTTTCTTATTCTCAGGATGTATCACCTGAAAATACTAAGCTGAAACATTTTATATATATATATATATTATATATATATATATATATATATATATATGAGAGGCTTTGAGGTGAAGGGAAAAACCCTAGCATCTTTGATAAAGAATAAACAAATTTATAACTTTGTGCAGCAGGGCTGTGAACTCCCTTTTTCCTCTCTCTCCCACAATTTACCACAGTGACATGTCATTTTTTGCCTTACTGAACAGATGTGGGAGGCTGAAGATCAAGATAACTGAAGCTAAAATAGGGCTTACAAAAGAACTTCTCTTGTCAGATATCCTACTACAATGATTTTACAGGTCAGCTTCAATTTCAAATTTCCCCTTAAAAGTAGTAGCAACACATCACCCTAACTCGTCCTAGAAGGTCAAGTTTCATTATAGCACCAGTGCAATGACAGTGTTTACAGTTGGACAAGCATAGGTTGTAAGGGAGAATAGCTTTCATCCTAAAGGTGTAGATCTTCTGTTGTGCATTGACTTCAGCAAGTTGTAGTAAACCTGCAGGGATATATCAAGAAACAACAGGCACCGTGAGTGGGCACAGCCTCGGGTTTCCAGATCTTTGAGTGGAGACCCCTTTATATAAAAGCTACTCTGCAGAAAGTATATTGACACTGTCAGAAGATAGCTGACTATATGCATCTCCTCACTATGGGCTTGTTAATGTGTTTTGCAACTGACTGTCTGGTAAAGTGAATACTAACACCTAGAAAACAATGACTGGAGTTCAGCAAATAAGTGTGAAAACAGCAGGACTGGTACACAGTGTAATAAGAATATGCTTTTACAAAGAGGAAAACTGGCAGAGGGAAGTGCAGTGTTATGAGTTGATGACTCAGGCTAGAATATTGCTGCATAACATTAGCACCTGCATCTTGTATCTGTGATGTGGTGGACAAAAGCAGGTGTGATTCTCAGTTTTTTGCATGGAGAGATTCACGTATACTAATCAGTGAGGAAGCTTTTATTCAAGCAATATATCCTGGAGCAAATGGGCCAATATTAGTCATAATACTTAGCAAACAAACTTCCCATTTAGCTCAGTTTGCAGATTCCATGTATTATTTGTATTTTCACAAGGTGCTAGAGCCCCAGTTTTCCATCAGGATCCCTTTATTCAAGGTGCTTGCAAACTCAGAACCTCAAGATAGCATCTGCCTTGTAATGCCTACAGTTTTAAATATATATTGAGGGGCAGTTATGACAGAGGCAGATGACAAGGACCATAAGGGACAATTCTGATCTGTGTAATTAGCAGTAATTCCAGTATGCCCATGCCATAAAAAGTGTAATTTTCATTGAACGTGTGTCATTGAAGAAGTTAAGCAAAGACATTGAACAAAAATAATGATGTACTTTTCTGGATGTTTATGCAGTTTCCTAACCGAGTACTGTCCCATCTGAGGTAAAAGACAAAAAGCACAAGGTGAATTATTTTTAAACTTAACATGTGGTCAAAGGTAGCTGACATCTTTAGTCCATCGGAAAGAAATGATTTCTCAATAATGAATGCAAGGGAGAACAGTTTAGGCTATGGAAACCTTTCTTACATATTCATTAGTGAAATCTATTCAGTAGTGAAAATTCTTTGCTTAGTATTCTCTGTGAATAGGTTTTGGTCTGACTGCATAGCTTCTTTCTGTGCAAATATATTTTCTGAGCTCTCTTTCTAGTTATGACTAAATGCATTGCACGTTTTTCTTTCCCTACCAGTTAAATATGAATCAGTTTTTACTTTGCTTATAAAGATTTTAGAATTTTATTTCTTTTAATAATTTTTTTTAAAAAACATTTCTTTAGCATCCACTTGTCAATACACTCATTCTCTAGATTTGTATGAGGAAGTCCCTGCTACATCTAGAGGTGGGTGGCTATGTCAATGTTCATGTGAAAGTCATCCAGCTCTAACGTGAAAACTTACATTTCTATTGCCAGTGGGATGAAAATAGAAGATACTGAAGTCATTTTAATTCATAACAGGAACTAAGGTGGGCAGAACTACAGAGCAGTCACACATGGAACCAGAAGGTCTATGATAGATAGCAGGATTACAAACTAGACTGTAACTAGTGAACCACAAATACAAGTAGGTGATATGGGCAGGAGAATGTAGTTGTAAATCCTGAAACCTCTTGGGATGCAGAGACAGGGTAATATCTGAAACACCACTTTTAATAGATTCTCTTGTTAGGAAAGTTGTTTGAAACAGGTAAGTAGTGATACAATGACCTTCCTGCTAAAATTTGCAACTTAACAAAATCTTATGTGTTGCTGTAATGAGTGATGAAGGGCTTGACTTTGTTCCCAAGAAATAATTTCTGGTTAGAGAGGCCCAAGAATTGATGTATGTGCAGAAGCTACGTTCGGCCTCAGGATTTGTAGTGTGTCCATTTTTCAGTACTGCCAGTGCCATCTTAAAGAATAGGCCCTTAGTCTGAAGGAAGCCTGCTGCGCTTCAGGGAGCAGCCGCTCAGTGGGTGCACAACGGCACAGAATCTGCTGACTTGCTGTGTATGTGAGCTCAGTGCTCAGGGCTCCCTACAGTCATAAGACAAACATGATTATTAACTGTCTGATTAGAACAGGAATGGCAGCTGTAAACTGTCAAGAGACTAGAACGTGTGTATGAAGGTAAAATACAGCAGTAAAGGTAGGAGATACAAATTTAGCAAAATTAAATTTTGCAGCAAGAGATAGCATTGCTAAATGTGGTTAAACCCAAAACCTTTCTTTATGGGAGGAGCTGAAAAGCTGCTGACATTCTTCCTGTGACTTTGCAACATGCTGGGGAGTTTAAAGGGCAGGCTTGCCTGACCACTAAGAGACAGTCAACGCAGCACTTTTGTATGGAGAATGACTGCGGCACAATAGCAGCACATTGCAAAGAGAAGTAGCAAGTACCCTGATGGAGAAAGAGGAGTGCAGGAAGGGACTTTCCGCTCTAGACCTTCTGTGCTGCTAGGAACAGAGAGCATATTTATATATGTGTGTATACGTAAGACTTAATTCATATTATTTGTTACAGTCACAAACTAAAATCCTGTTTTCTGCCCATTGCAGGCCTGAATGTGGAACAAAGTAGAGGACAAAGGAAATAATCAACCAATTAGCAACTTAGCAATGTCCAGGTCTGGAACGTACATGCTAGAGTCCAGTGTAATAGGACTGTAACGGATCATGAAACTCTACAGCTAGACAGCAGGTTAGAAGATATTTTAATTCTTTAAATATATTACATATAAACTGGCAAGCCCCTACCTTCGAGAGCTGCTGTCTCATAGGATGAACCCCACTTTATAAATAAATATATATATTTATAAACATAAATGACTTTCAGTCCACATAAAATAGTCTAAAAAGTGATGACGCTCTGGTTTTGGATGGGAAGAAAGATCATTGGACAGTATTACACCAATTTTGAGTGGGGAATTTCAGAGGATTATGACTGAGTTGACTGGATCTCTTCCTTGGTAAGTCACTGGAAATTGAGGTTCCTTTAAAACTTGTTTGTAGCTGATTGATATACAGCTTTGATCCCTTCCATTCTAAAATGACATACAGAAATGGAATACTTGCATGCAGAGAGCACATGGACAAAAGTGACTGTTTCGTAGCTGCTGGAATGAGAATAAATAACCGATTTTGTATCGGTTTACATGAGTATCAACACATTTAGGAACTGCAGTCAATTTAGAAGTCTGTTTTCCAAGGACTGGGTCATAGCCCTTGGGAGGCTATCTCAAAAGAAAGCTCTAGCAATGTGTGGCAAAGACATTTCTATAGTCTAAAGGAAAAATCTAGCTCTTCTGATTCTACCATCAGACCAAGTACCCAGTCAGTCTTTTAAAATACTGAAATAAGAGGTAGTAAACAGAGGTTTACAAATGGATTTCCTTACTCTTACTGTAAAGCCAGTTCATACTTTAGCTAGTAAGGCATCAATCCAAAAAGTTTAAGAACTGCTAGTATATAGAGGACAATTTATTTGACTTATTCCCAAAGGATAGTTTGGGAAGGTGAGAAGTCACCTCGACATGAGACACACTAAGATATATTAGCTAAATTTCATACAAAAAAGTGAACTTGCAAGTATATTTAAAAGAATATCAGTAAAACATTTAGACATATGAATGAAAAAATCTTCAGTTGTGGTAGTTGAAATAAATATGATTAGAATTAGCAAGCATTTTATCCTTTTTGTACATTATTGCACAGTTACAGAAAATATATTTGAACTTGTTTCATTGTCTGAAATATTTGATATTTGTTTGAGTAACATAATTCTTTTGTAGTATTGTAATGCCAATACTCTAAGAAAGAGAGGAATACTGTAGCTTCAGAGAATCTTATGGAAAAGTAATCATAACAATAATCTGAAATGCAGAATGAATACATTTAGTGGAAACACTGAATATGAACCTAACAAGTTAATTAATCATGCTAGTGAAGTCTCTCTTAGTCGATGACCTTCTAAATGTATCAGTTGTTTCCATTTTTAAAACTGGGGGATTAAAGATCCTCCCTACCAATATCTTCCACCATTTGAGCTGTTTTGTGATGATCAGTACTCAGGCCACTATATCAGTAATTTTTGAATTGCAAAAAAGTGGCTGTGGATTGAAGAGTGTTTCATTATAGTTCAGACATAACACTCCTCCCATCTCCCAAATGTGTACAACATAGTGTCAAGTACATCAAAGTATTGCCTAGGAGTGACTGACAAAATTAGGATCTCCAAGGCAAGAAGGCAAAGGGAAGAGTGATCTCAACAGCTTTTTCAGAAAAAACTATGGCATGGGGTCAGTCACATTTTCCCAAGGAATAATGTTTCATTTCCCAAGCAAGAAGGCAAAACAGGGAAAAAAAAAAAAGAACTGTACAGGCTCATCAGGAATCACAGGTGTTCGAATAGACCTAGTGAGCTATGTTGCCCCAAAATCTGAAGAAATCGCCTGAGAAGTTTCTTTCTATAACCAGTCTTTTATAAAGTGTCTCTCTCCCTTTCCAGTGTTGTTGAATCATTCATGTTGCTGGTGACAGTCCTTGTGGAAGATTCTGCCCCACTGTCAGATCAGACACCGAGTTATAAATGATGTTTTCCTTCTGCACATAAGTAGTATAAGGTTCCACTTCCATTGTGTCATCCTAGAAAAACAAAACCAAAAACTGTAAATACAAGGAGAAGTCTGGTTTGGCAAGATTCTGCAAGCCTTTCATCTGGACATTGGGACTGAAGAATGTAACTGGGGAATAGTGCTCCCATATTTATTCCTCTTGGACTCAAGAAAAATCCCTCTATTGCTTTTTTTCTACCAAAGAACCTGTATTGCTGTTTCTGTCAAAGATTTGGAGGGTAAAGCTGAAGTACTGTTTCACTTGCAACCCTTTCCTTCCCTTCTACCCCACCTATTTTGGGCTGAAAAAAAAAAAAATTGTATTAGGGTCTAGTTCTCTAGAAAGAGCAAATAACATACTAGAGTCTTGACCGTGATTGATTCCTCCATCAGTCTACAATTTCAGTCTACAGACATGCTAATGAAAGTTGTATGATGTGACAGCAAGAACACTGGCACTTAATCCATTATTTTATATTAATGCAACTGTTTCTGTCACCAGCAATTGGGAGGTAAGGCAGCAGAACAGGAGGAATAATAATAACTTGAATTGACTAAGTCTTTTCTGAAACCAAAACTGAAGCACATTTTTAAGTGGGTAACAAAATTTGCACCTAGTGTCTACTGTAGGTGCATGGATATTCACAATATAGATGTAACACATCTTGCCTGCATAGAAATGCTGTATTTTATACTTGGTAGCAGAGAACAGAGACAGTGCTGATGAGTGAATTGCTCAGCTACACAGGAAGCTTGTAACAGCACAGCGAATTCAAGAATACCTCTTGGCTTGCAGCTCAGCACTCCTTCCATTGTTTTATAAGATGTTTTGACTTGAGTATGGTTAGCTCTTTGATTGTGGATTGACCATACAAAATCAAGAGTGTCCTTCAACACTTGTGTATTATCATTCTGGACACCAAGAGGGATATTCTTTTTTAATCTGTGTCTGCTAATTTTGTTGTTTAATCCTCTTGTTTACTAACAGCCTTCTTAATATTCCCCAACATGTGATATTGCCTCCCTTCCTGAGTACTGTTTGTATAGCAATTGTGGTCAGTGTATCTGATATGACCAGGGAGATGTGGTGGGACTCACTCCTTGCTAAGATAAAGGATGGCAGTTGCCAAGACTTTTCTGTTGGAACTTGCCTCTAATGTTTTCTCCAAGTCAAAATTATGGTGATGATAAGCTTTGTTTTGTCCTGAGATACAGCTGAGATCAAACATGTAAGACACAGTAGCATCTACTGAAAGCCGAGAGCAAAAATCTAACAGTTTCCCTATACTGACCATGTTTTCAGGGCTACCAGAAGATCCCTGATTTGGTGATGGTCTACTTTACATCATTCACCTTACCTGTGGGGAATGTGTAGGAGCAGTTTCAGGAGGTTTGGGTTTATGGCATAGTCTGTGAAAAAGAAAACAATTATTAAAGCAAATTCCTTCCTCAATCATAGGTTTGGCTGGATTACAGCCTGGTTTCTTTGATCACAAGCTTATGAAACATTTCTTTTTCTTGTCAAGAGTAAAGCCACAAGCCTTCTCATGTCTCTCTTTTCTTGACTTTTGATCCTGAAATTATGGAACCTTCAGCTGAAATTAAGATAAAAAGCTCTGAGGGAGAAGGCTTGAGAGAAAAACGAGTTTTGGGATAGGGGAAGGAAGGAACATAGCTAGGGTTTTCACTACATGTGCTAATTCAATCTTTCTCTGCACAAATGACTTCTGTGTTTTTTCCTTGGAACTGCTTTTTTGTCCATGGGAAATCCTAAAGGGGCTACAGTCCAGCTTCTCCCACAGAGCTTTTTCATAAATAGAGGTTCAATCTGCTGTCCCCTCTGATGATATGGCAGGATAGCACTGGTCGGTCTTCTGGCACTTGATAGAATTTATCAGGCAGCAGAACCAACCCCCTGATCTAAACAAGAGAGATACTGGCAGACTATCAGAGTGTCTGAAGAACAGCTTTACTCTTCCAGTTCCCTACTAGAACAAAGAGCTCCTCTTTAGAGTAGCAGACAATGCAATGAGGATCCTCTGCCAACTTCTGCCCATTTATATTTTATTCGGGTGCATTATTCAGTGAAGATGTGTGCACAGTGCCTGCCATATAGAAATATTTGGTGTAGTTAATTCAGTTATTCATAGCAGCACAGGCTGACAGAATCATAATGATTTCAAGACACAAACACTACTTAAAGATTTCTTCTAACATGAGACAATCTTTCCTTAGCACCCCATCATACATACCTGTCTCTGTGGAGCTTAAAATAGTAAACAACAGCCATGAAGGTAATAATGCTCAGGAAACCAAGAATGATTAAGACATCCCGGAAAAAGCTGTTCTCTAAACACAAAGAGATAGTCTTAGTTATATCTTCTTACTGCTTTGTTTCTTTATTATTTCAGTATAAGATTAAAGCTGCTTTAGCACATACACACATTCTCATCGTGCTTACAAAATAAATATAATCCCCTTCAGCAAAAGGGAAAGGCAGTCATGAAACATCTGAGAAACACAGGTAGTGTCTGTATCAGAGACAAAAACAGATCCCACAAATCCCACAGAGGACACTTGATATTTTTTCACTAATCCATTCCTGAGCTCCTCTCAAAGACTCAACATATCTCAGTACTGCAACTCGTGTATAGTTCTCAAAAGCAACAAAAAAAGCAAAAACCAGAAACCAAATGTCATACAGTGTCAAACATTCAAAACTCAGAATGAAGTGATTTATTTGTTCCTGCTGGCAACACAAGAGTCGGTTCTCTTTCTTTCTCTCACCATGATCTGAGCAAGAGACTTAACATTTGCATCTAAAAAAAATTTGCTGATGTTATTTTTCCAAGTGATTATTTTAACACTAAGATCATGACCGCTTTGTCTCTGTTTCCAACATTTTCACTACCAAAAGAACACTACCACACTTATGTATATCCCTCTTAGGAAAGAAACCATTAGGAAATACAGTCTAGAACACAAACAAGCTGGTAATGTTTCTGGGCAAAGGCTATTGGGGACAATACTCTTGTCCATATGGGACTTCACTGAGGGTTGCTATAGCTTTTATAGATCTTCCTTCCTAGAAGGACCAAGAGTGTGCACAGGAGGTTAAGCAGGATTTTGAATGCTGAACACACAAAGGGAAGCTTACTTGGGGGACGACAGGCTATGGAGCTGCTCTGGTTCCCAGCTGGGTGGGACACAATGCAGGTTGTATTAGTCGTGTTGGTGCTATATGCTGTGAAATTGCTGAGAACAGTCACTGTCCCGTTGTCATGGCCTTCCTCCTTGGGGGTGGAGATGCCCTCTAGGACCCACAAGATCTGAGCAGCCGGCTTCCCCACCGCTGCCTTGCACACGGGGATCCCGTTGTCATCGCAGTACAGGGTCAGCCTGGGGGGCACTGCAAAGCATCAGGAAGGGGACATGCGTGGAGTTAGTTTGCTGCAGTTGGCATAGGATGTTCTTGTTCTCTACCCAAAACGAACACGGTGAAAGGAGGAGAATAAGGTTGGAGGTGCCATCTCATTACAGTGGCACGGGCCAGAGCCACGAGAGACAAAAATTGCGCTTCTTTCTTTCTTTTCCTTTTGGACAACTCTCCCCATCCGGGTTTGTTACCACAGCCATGTACCATTAGAGCAGGTTGCCCTGGACACTGCAGTAGGGAATTATCCCAAATACAGGGCTGAATTAGACTTTTGTCCCAAGCAGCCATTGTACAAGTGGTTTAAAATGTACTTGAATCCCAGCATAAGAGGAAGTGGGTCTGTCCTCTTTTAGTATCCTGGAAATTGCTTCACACCTGTCGTTTCTAACTAGATAGTGGAAAAGGGGACAACAGAAGGGAGAAGAGTTTGGGGAAATAAGGAGAAGGGGAGAACGGAGCTACTATCAGTGAAATGCATGACAGTTTATCCCAGCAAGAGAGCTTCTCTTCCTGCTGCATGCCTTCCCCGTGCATGGGGCGAGGAGCTTTGTAAGTCTAGACCCAGACAAGGTCCTTTGGAGGACTGTAAAATGAGGAAGGAGTCCCTTACCCAGCACGGTCAATTGGTACATCTTGTGGAAATTCCCTTCTGTTGCTACTACTTCACAGGTGTAATTTCCTTCATGGGCTATTTCCACTTGCCGTATCTCAAGGGAGGGATCCCGATCTGGTCTGAACTTCCAGTCCACGCTGTCACTGCAGTTTGTTCTGTTTGTCTTGTTCTGATCAGCCCTGTAGCTCAAGGTGCAGGGGCCTCCAACCTTGGGGCTTATCTTCCATGTTACCATGGTTATATTTGATTTGGGAGAGCAGGTGAGCACAGAGCTGTTGCCTACCGTCACTGACACTTTCTCGTTCCCTGGAGGAAAGAAGGAGACGGACATGTGAGAGGTGCCCAGGGATGTCACTCAGAACCTTGGAGTTCTGGTCGGTGCTTCACAGAGAAATGTCTGCATTACACACCAGCGTGAGACCCTGTGTGTACTCACCTGCAAATTGTCTGTCATCTTGTATTACAACCATGGATTATGGAGCCAGTGGCCTATCACAACCTACTCCCACAATAATCACAAGAAATTTTGCACTGGAGCTCATCTTAGTGGATAAGACAGATTTTGGAGGAAGACCCTACTCCTGCCCATAATCTTAAGCAGTTCAGCATCTGAATAGTGTGCGTCTATTGGCAAATCCTCCAGTGGGTTGCTCACAGGGCTGTTACCTCTTACAGGATGAAATGATAGAAATTTGACTGTTGGATTTGGCAACATGACTTTTCTCTGGAACTGTTGCTACCAACGAAGTGAACAACTTTGACTTCTGCTTTCATACAAAATTCAACAGTGTGGTCAAAGGCCTTGTCTACACCTCTTAGGCATGACCACAGTGCAGATAACAATGGTGGAGCTTTGTGTAGGAGGAAGAGGTTTTGTCTTATGTCTCAGGGGTGTCTTTTCATTTCCTGAATCTTTGTGAACACACACATTCACACTATGAACGTACACAATGTGTACCTATGCATTTACAGTGTGATTGTACTTCTTTTACTGCAGTGGTCCCCATAGGACATGCACATAAGTCCTACCCATCTTTGTTCCAGGCACACGGCTACAAATGTGTAAAATATGCCCATATCCTGATGCATGTTGCTCGCAAGGCTAAGGTTACAGAGAAACTTTATTCAGCTGATGTATCAACTGTGTTGACTCTGACAGTGAGTATGTCTTGTTCTTGAATTCAGTTTTGCATTTGCTTGGAAACATGTTATATTTTACTTTTTTTTCTTCTTTCCATGACAGTGACTCTTCTTTTGGATTTTAAAAGATGACTCTTGCTTGGAGTTAGGAACAATACCTCCTCTCTTTCTCTTTTCATGATCCATGAACTATATACTTGAAGTCTGTATGGAAAAGCTTGGACCTAGTCCCCTTGTACTTTATGGAAGTTATCACATTGGCCATTGAAGGGTGGAGAGCCAGACCACTGTATGGCTCCTTGGTGCTCTGTTTGTTCAAGACAAGTTACACTCTTAGGATTGCCTTTAATTTTTTGTTTGTTTGTTTGTTTTGTATATGATGTATATGTATACATACACCAGAAGGCTTTTTTCCTGGTGGAAGAGGAAAATTAATTTGGGATAGTATTTCACTGAAGCCATCCACTTCCCATTTTTATTAAAAAAAAAAAAAAAGGAAATATCTTCCTGCTGCTCGATACTGCCAGGATTCATCATTTAATGATTCCAAGCATGGCTGAAGAAGAAAGGTGCTGTCTATTCACACCATTTTCTGATACACTAATTACCCACCAGCCCTACAAATGCTTGTTTCCTTAATTCATTTGTCAGCAGTGTTTGGTGATACATTATTACACTGGAAGTGTTTTTAAATGACAAGTTTTTCCTGCCTAATGGCATTTCAAGAAAATGTTAGGTGTGTGTTTTAAACTCAGATGATTTTACCAGGAGAGGAACTGAAAGAAGCCTTTTGTCTCATGGTTGTTTCTGGATGTAAGGTCTATGAATGTTGCTGTAAATTGGAGAACAAACTGTTTCCTTTCCCAGTTTAACACTGACTAGAACCTCGGAACTCATGTCATCAGTATGGCTGACCTCATCTGAAAATTAATAAGCAAACCTAAGCATTCAAATAGTCTGTATGTTGGGGCTGGGGTTTCCTTGGATAATGTTTGCAAATGTTGCCCAGGAATGACAATGTGTGTATTTAACTGTGTACACTTTCATTTACTTATTAAAGCATTTTACTTGTCTTTCAACTCTGCATCTCCTAAGCAGCCTATCACAATGTGCAAGTTCCCCAGCATAACGGCTTGTGTACTTCAAGACTGGAAAGAAAGAGGGAGAGAAAGTGGTGCTTTCTGCCATGCCTTTCTGTCATATTCTCCCCTGAATGAATCAGGTACCGTTCATTTAAAATGATAAACTACATCAATCAGCTTAAAATCTGCTAAATTACATTTAAATACAATTTTAGGTTTATGATAAATTTGCAGAAGAATTCTGAATTCCCCTGTATCTTGTTATTAATTTAGAAGGCTTTTAGCAAGGCAGGAATTTTTTTCCAGAAGGCAGATTAATTAGTAATCTATTTCATATTTATCCTATCCTTACATACACCTTCCTATTATTGTGAAGAGGCCTTATAAACGTAATAAAATTAAACTGCTCTCACTTTACTGCCCTCTTTCATTGTTAGAGTGCAGGGAATTGACATTAGTGTAAATATGAATTGTGTACTTTCTTCCTTGCTTTGCTTTTCTCATGCACACTGCTAGAAACATGACCCTTAGATTTTTACAGAAGAAGAATGCATATGCCAAAAATCCTGAAAGGTTTGGTTAATTTGTATTTCTGAAATTACTTTGAAGACTTCATCTTAAGGTGGAACACGGAATATGTTTTTATCTCTGTAGAAGAGAAATATATTAGGAGGAGGTTTTATCCTATATAATGACCCCGTTAGCCTGTTAGCATTCTCCCAGGAACTGTTTAAAACTGTGACTGTCTGTCTTTATGTTGAAGGCAGAAAAAGAGAAAAAAGTGGTAAGGGAGCAAGGAGCAACTGCAGAGCCTGCACCTATTTTGATCCTCCTGGTTCAATGTGGCATGGAAGCATGTTGTGATGGCACAGTGCTGTGGACACCTACTAAACTGATTCCCCAAACCATCATAGCCAGGCCAATAGTTCTGCTGGGCATTTGCTCACTAGCCCTGCTTGTCAGCCATGTGGATGGTTATAGTGTTTCCATTTCTGTAGATCTTCCAGACTGCTTGCTATTCCCCCAAGAAAGCATATGCAAAAAAGAGAGCTCTGCTTCATCTTACCACAGAGCATAGTACCAGGTTCAGATAATTTAAGGTTTTGAACTGTGTTACCTAAAATCTTGTCACTCACAAGCAAAATAGGACTGGACCTGGGTAATACTCGATGAGAAGCTTCCAAACCAGAAAGAATAGTGTCAGCCATTTTCATAACAGTTTCTGATGAAAAGAGGATTTGCCTTTCTTTCTATTTCAAGCTAAAATATAGTCTAATGAAATGTCAAGACTTACTGATTTTTACCACAGAGTTAGCTTTATTTAAGAGCAGTCCAAAAATGTATATTCTCAGTAATTAATCTGTAAATAACTATGGGGTCCACCAGCACAAAATTTATTTAAATAGAAATTCTCCTCATCCCTATCCTGTCTCTCTTGGTCAGCCATAGCATTTCATTCAATTTGGGGATGTTGACAGGACCTCATGCTGGGCTGAAGTTGGATGTGCCCTGCTTTCTCTTTCTAGTGAGCGTACCAAAAGCCATGTACTTTCTAGAAGTATGTTTTATTAGAACACAAACCAATATGCCAGAAAGTCACAGCTCTTTAGGGAACACAGAATTGCTAGCTGTACTTATATAAAAAAAAAAAAAGGCCTAAAAACAAATGTCCCCTGCTCTCTGTGCCCCTACTCCACCAGCTTTTGGTGACTTGTCAGGCTGCACAGACTCCACATGGTCTCTTCTGAGCAACTTTTTCCATCACTTCTACGACTTCTTGTGGGTCTGCTCCAACCAAGCCCTTTGCCAGGATCTTCTCATCTGCTTTCTTTGCCCTCCTTATGTTGCCTGCCCCAGCCTGCACTCTTGTGTATGTACTCAGCAGCTCTGAGGAAAGGCAAAATCTCACCTAAAGGGTGTGTGTCTGCTCTGCAGGAGAACTGAACAAATAAAAGTGTTCCATTCTGTTAAAGAGGAAGGGTTCAGTGCCGCAAGTGTTTTAATTCAGACATGTCACTGCACCACTGTTTTCTGGAATGATGCTTTCATACTGTAAAATAGCTAAAAGTCAGTTGCTAAAGTTTCATTTGTGATAGCAGATTGGTTTATGACCAAGACATTAGGGCATATATGCCAAACACATCAGCGTTTATCTAGTCAAACAAAAGCTCGGAAACAAGCCAGTACATTGCGCTGCTACTTCTCTCATGGTGAAATCCTGTGTTATAGCTGAGCTGAGCTAACAGCTTGCTGTAACTGAAAAAGGGGATAACCGGTGCAGCAAAAGCCTCACTCTCTGAGGTCTTGCAGAGAACAAGAAATTTGAAGAGGTGTGAGCTATCAAGCTCATCATAGTGCAGTGATAACTGTAGCATGATAATTAAATGTCAGTACTGTTTACTATTTCATTGCACAAAAAGAGAGATGAAGTATCGCATATTTACACATTTATTGTAAATAACTTCTCATTTTAAGTCTTATTCTTCACAAATGAGTGGAAAATGGCAATCATTTTTTCTGTCAGCCAGGAGAAGAGCTCAGGAGGTGGGGAGTATGTGCTGTCTTGTCTGTCACACTGATGTAGAAAACAGGAAAGTCAAGTTCTGGGAGTTCTGTACAGCTCTGGGCTGAACCTTCCTATTTTGGTTGTGGATGCAAATCCAACATGAGCAGGTTTCACATTGGAGACTCATCTGACAGGTGGGTCTTACAATTTGACTCCAGGCTCTGAAGTTCATGTAATTGTAATACCAATACTAATATGCCATCCCTCATTGTCTCTCCTTGACTGTTGAGGAAGATTTTAAGATTTTAAGATGAAGATGATTCTAAGAAATGAGGTTCTCAAGCTCCATTCCAGTGCACTGTGTGCACATTCCACTGAACTGTCAGATTCTACTTTTATGTTTAAAAATGGACATATGTTCTCTCGGAAAAAAGCAAACTCAGTTGAGGAGTTGACATTTGTGTTTTAACAATGTGTTGATTACTGTTGTCATGCTAAGAGTACTGTAATTGAAAAAGATTGGGGAAAAGACTTATCTTTATTTTTTGTGGTTTATGTAGTGTGTTTGACAGCTCTTG